TAGGTATAATTACACCTCTGACGCGCGGGGGCTGCCAGGATGGGGGTCTTACTGGAAAAATTAGTTCTCAGGGTAGTGGGCAGCTGAGTTTATACTCGGAAGTTCAATTTCCTTGTTTTACGATCAAGCTTAACACCAACCTTGCTTAGATAAGCAGAAACTTTTAATTGTATTTTTCATTTTGTTTGTGAGCTGCCTCATTGTAATTTCCATGAGTATGCTTTCTATACGAGGGCTCTGGCCTAAAGTTTATCGAACTTGCTCATTCATTTTCAAAATATAAATATTTCAATGTAAATCATTTTGCTTCAAAGAGAAGTTTTCTGTTCCTTTGTAATTCTTATTTAAATATTGTCAGTTTAGAAAACAATAGAGCCACGCGCTCGATATTACTTAAGCAAGCTTTGATGATTACATCCTTGACTACTAAACTGAAGAGGCTAGAGGTCATGTCGCTTGCTGGCCTGACTTAGAAAGTTTACTGTGGAACCAAGTGCTGTCTCATCCCTGACTTCCGTACAAGCTCGCTCGAAGTAGATCTCCGTGTGCAACGAAATCGTGACGAGTTTCCGTTCTCGCTGTAGAGTGGTCTCTACCTAGTTATTTCCCCAAGTTATTGTTGTGCCGTCCGCGAAGGTTCAGTTTCCCAGTTTAGCGGGCAAAATCCTATCGTCACAGAAACGACTCGTCGAATCCTTGTTGTTCTTGATCGTAACGGAGTTCGTGAACGCGCTCGTCATAAGTTTCGAAGAAGACAATACCTATCAAAAGGTGCAAATTATAAATGGCACATTGATGGCTACGATAAGCTTAAGCCATTTGGGTTGTGCATGCGTGGAGCGATAGATGGCTAAAGCCGCCGTATCCTGTGACTTGAATTGAGGCAATGCGACCTGAATGCGACATGAAATGCGAAGTTGTTCGCCTCGGGGTTGCCCTGGTTAGCTCAATTGGTAGAGCGCCGGACTGCTGTGCGGGTGGTCGAGGGTTCAAGCCCAGGCCGGACCAACAATCAGGTCTTAAAATAACTGAGGAAAATGTGCTACCTTTCTATAATATCAAGAAATGGACAGATATTCTAGTCTTCTCGGAGAAGGACAAATAAACCGTAGGTCCCGTCTCCTGCAGGGTTAGGGGAAAGAGACGTTAATTTCCCACGCACGAGATTACTGTGTGGTGGATGTCCTCCCCTTGGATGGGATGGGTGGGTATATCTGCTGAAGATGGGTTATATTTCCCTTTGCAGATTAGACATTTAGATTTAGATTTCTCGTGTAGTTCTTTAAAACTCGATTATAAATTGATCTTTGGGACGCTACAACTCAGTAATATACGCTAAAAGCACGTTTTTAGCGATCGGAAGCGATGCTATTCAAATTATCTGAAGAAGCGAAATTGGACGCCTACTGCGATATCAATATC